GTAACTCAACCTGATGATGACTTATCAATTTGAAAAAAGCATATTTGGCAGACTGAACCTGTGTCTGTACATCAAGAAAACATGACCTACACGGAAAATAGATGTACTGTATCTGCAAGGTACAATGAAATGCAATGTCATTCAAAGGGTCAGATGTATTCTAGTTTGATGACTAATGAACCTCATTTAATGCTAGGCATCCATCGTAGTCCCCACTAGCCATTTGCCTTTGACTCTAGTCCTTGAAAAGTTTCCAGTAATGACTGAAGTAGTGTTTTACAGCAGGCGCATATGTGCTCTGTGTTTGTGCCTGGTGCCTGCTGAGGTGAGAAAAAGGCCTCAGATTGTACTGATTTTCCTTGCCATATTAAAGATATCATTCCACAATCTCCTTTCTGTGGTAATGTTGACAAGTTTTCTGGTATAATTTTCATTTTTGTGTCTTTTTTATATGGTTCAGCATTGTTGGTAACAGAGTTGTATTTATTTTAGCTTTAAATTTTAAAGAAGTGTAACAAGAAGAATGAATGCTTCTCTCCTAAATGCTCGTCAGGTTAGTATCCTGTCTACATTTCTTAGACATTCCTCTTATTATTTAAACCATTTATCTAACAATTCAGCATTCACACTCTAACCCTTTGTTCTAAAAGGGCACAGCATTGTACTTAGGCCTCAGGCTGTTGATTAAGCATTTTAGAATAGGGTCACGTGAGACTCAGCTGCAGACAGGATTGATATAATGTCCATGGTTGAGCAAGGCTGACAGCTGTAGAATTTAGAAGGACAGTTTTACTCATTGTAACTTGACCATCTGAGATGTGACACTGGGATTCTGATTGATAAAGACTCTATAATTCATAATGGAACCTTCCTACATGTAGCCTTACATGCGAATGTTATATTCCCTAAAAGTTTGCTGTTTAGAATTTGATTATGGAATCCTGTTTCAGAGAATAGGAAAGTACAATAAAGACTATGACTATTTTAGGTAACATCCGTTACTAAAATTAAATTTCAGGGTTTTTTTTTTTTATGTATGTTAGTACATTTGCCTGAATGTATGCATATGTGCTATATATTCCTCCAGGCTGTTGAGTTCAGAAGAGAGCACTAGATTTTAAAGGATTAGAAGTAAATATCTGCTGTGTAGTTCATGTGGGTCCTGGGAAACAATTTAGGATCATAGAATCCAACCTGTACACAAATTTCCAAATGAAGTGATGGTGGCATCTTCATCTCTTGCAATGAAAACACCAAAAATTCGTGAAGGAGAGAGACCTTAGGGATGTACTCAATATAATATGTTATTCTCTGCATTATCTCATAAGAGCAACAATGCTTAACATCTGACGCATTTCTATAGCACTTCTAGAAGATGCTGTTTGTCCTTGAATATTTCCCATGATTCATATTCATCACAACGTGACCCTTATTCTTTAGGTCTGTTTCATCTAGGAAAACATTATTGTCTATCAGCACATGATAAACAGGTAATTTTCTATTACAGGGTCAGTTAACATTCAAGGATGTGGCTGTGGACTTCTCACAGGAGGAATGGGAAAGTCTTGACCATGCTCAGAGGGCATTGTACATGGATGTGATGTTAGAGAATTACAACAATCTGTTTTTTGTGGGTGAGCATAGTTTTCTTGTAGAATTCCTGACTCATTCTTGGAATTTATCTACTGTGTAATTATGTAAATGTTCTGACATGTCTAGAGACTCCCATAATAAGGGAAATTCTGGATACCAACATAAGTTCTTCATTGTGTTTCCTTTACATTTCTTTCCATTCTTTGAAAGAGGATCCAGTATTGTATTTTGTGTAGTCTCTCAAAAAACTGTATCTACTTTGATTCAAAACTTCAAGTTGTAAAAACAATTGAATATTCCGTGCAAGAAAATATATTGCCACACCTATAATAATTGGAATATTCTAGTTTTACTGTTGCATTAAAGTCTTTAATTGTTTATGAATTTTAAAAATGGAGACACTTCTAAATAGAGAAAGAGCTGTTGCTTGTGAGAATTTTGTTGTTCCTTAGTTAGTTAGTTTTTGTCCTGTGGTTTCTCTGTTTAGTACTGGTACATCATGGCCTTTATATCATGAGTTCCATGCCCAGTGTGGATTACAGAATGAATTCCTAGCTGACCCAAGCTCCACTTTGCTACTCTGTCACAAACATAAACAAGAAAATAGAGAAACTGTTTTTTATATGATCATTCGGGGAGATCTTTTCTCAAAGTCCTTTACTTCTACATCACCTATTTTTACTTTCTGCCAAGCATAGTGTTAAATAAGAAATAGAAGGCTATTGTTTCCTGTCATTAGATACACATGAATTTTGAGATTGTTTTAAGCATCCATGTAATGACTCTGAAACAAGAAAGACCACTTTTGAGAGTTCCATTCTTGAGAATCACTAATTTACATTAGAAAATTTCAGGGGCTGTGGGATGTTGTCTTACTCATCCGCTAACCCCTGTCATCTTTAATTGTACTTCTTTTTTCAGAGAATCATGGCATGTGTGATAAATATCAGAAAATTTTGGATCAAGACCTACAGCATATTGTCCATGAACGTGTAAATATCCAAGTGAATTCTTATAAATGTCAAGAGATTGGCAAAATCATTCATGAATCCACGCAAAGTACACCTTATAAAATTAACCTCAGGGATACATCTTTTGAATCATCAAATATAAGCAGACATGAAACTGGAAACAATCGAGAACCTTGCAAATATAAAAACCAGGAATATTGTTTAAATTTGTGCTCTACCATTAGTCTAAATCAAGGAATCAACATAGGAAAGAAAGAAAACAATGGTGCAGACCTTGATAAGGTTTTTGACTCTAAACAAACAAGCATGTTGGAACAAACCAAAAGTGGAAAGAAACCTTACAAATGTAGTGAATGTGCCAAATGTTTTGCCAAGAAATGCTGGTTTAGAAAACATCAGACAGTTCATA